GGAGGGCGCTGGCCAAGGAAGGTTTCACAGAGTAGAGAGAGGGGCCGAGGGTGGAAGAATAAATGAGGTCTGCTAGGCCTGGGTCTTGGTGAGGAGCCAGGGAGGGCTGAGCATGAAGGGCATTGCAGGCTTCCAGGACCACCTATTTAGAGATGAGAGCTCCAGGGACCTTGGGATCAACTGGAGGTTTAGCATGGTTGGAGCAGAAGTTGTGAGGCCAATTAGGGAGTGGGTGGAGTCAGTCCACAAAAGGCCTTGTTAGCCAACCTAAGGAGGGGAGGAGAAGGAGGTTTTGGAATCAACTCTGTGACTTCAGGCAAATTATTTCGCATTCAAACTCAGTTTCCTCCTCTGTAAAATGGAGTTAATGAATAGCCCCTTGTGGGGAAGGTGGTGAGAATTCAGAGGTAACAGTTGTGAAACGCTGAGATAAGATCTGGCTTCTGAAATGATGGATCATCATCATCACTTTATCCTAGAGGCTAGGATGGCATTGAATAATTTTAAATGTAGGAACGGGTGGGTGGATATGAATAGATATATACTCTAAAATGGAAGCAGGTGAATGGAATGCAAGGTGACGGAAATGAATAAATAAGTAAGTGCAAATAGATAGATAAAATGAATAGATAGATAGATAAATGGACCGTTAGATAGATAAATGGAATAAATGGAAGTAGATGAATGAATGGGCAGTCGAATGGATGAATGGAATGGCGACGACAAGTAAATGTGGGTGAATGAATGGAATGGAATAATGAATGAATGAGGGCAATGGAATTTGACAAGCATCAAATAGATGAATGGAAGCGCAAATGGGACGGACGGAATTGGAATGGATGATAAATAGATTTATGGAATGAAGTGGTAAATGAATGGGCTTGATAAGACGAATAGATATAGTAGAGCAAGTAAATAAGATAGATCGACGGATAGATGACGATGAATGAATCAGCAGTCGAATGGAATGAATAGACGACGATAATTGAATGGAATGGACGACGCTAAATGGAATAATTAAATAAATAGATATCGACTAGATGAATGAATGAATAGATAGATAGAATGAATGGACGACGATACTTATAAAATTTATCGACTTAATTTAAGATAGATACAGTCAAATAGATAAATAGATGACAGACGAGCAAATGGAAATAGATAGACGGACGGAGTAGATAGATGATAGATAGATAGAATGGAATGCGTGAGTATTGAATGCGACGAGCAAGTAAATAGATAGATGAATAAATGAATGACAGACGGACGGAATAGATAGATAGACGGACGACGGAATGAAGTAAAGAAATGAATTGGACGGGCAAGAGGACGGTCGGGATTTGGAATGAATAAATAGAATGGAATTTAAATTTTATTGACGACGCAATAGATAATTTAGATAGATAGATGACGGATGTCGACGGATAGATGAATAGATGAATGCTTATAAATGGACGCAAGTAATTAGATAGATACGACCAAGTGACAGAATGAATGAATGAATAAAATGAATGGAATGACGACGGAATGAATAAATAAGGATAGATGGATGGATGGATGGGTAGATGGATAGATGAGTGGGTGGGTAGATGGATGGATGAGTAAGTGGGTGGATGGATGTCCTCCAGAGATTCAGGATTAATCACAGCTGTGGCTTAAGAGATTTTAGGCCCCAGGATAGGCCAAAAGGGAGGGTATGGAATGGGGCCTGACTGAGGTTGAGAAGGTGCAAGGTTCATTGTCCTGTCTTTGAGACCAAAGGATGGTCCTCCTAGTTTGGTGTCTCATAAGCTTTTCCCATTTGTCCATCTGTCTCTAGTCTCTCTCTGTCTCTGTTTGTATCCTGCTTATTTTTCTGACTCTATCTTTTCTGCTCTGCTCTCTCTGTCTCTCACTTCCTCCCTCTCTGAGTTTCTCTGACTTTGTGTCTCTCTTGGTCCTTTTCCCTTGCCTTCCTACACTGCCCACTGTCCCTTAGGTCTGGGCAGCAGTGTCTCACTCAGGGCTTTCATAGGATTTATATCTGCAGTGTGCAACAGCCCAGACTGGAGGCAGACCCCCTACAAGACAGCTCCAGCCCCGTGAAGTGAGGGGTGGGGGGTGGGAGGGTCAGGGAGCTGGATGTGTCTCTGTGCTTCTTCTGGGGTCTCCCCATCCCCACCCCAAAAGACCTTGCCTTTTAACAGCGGTGCCAGGAAAGGGAAAGACTTGATGGTGGGGGGGGGGGGGCGGTTGACAGCGATGGAGAGGTTTTTTTGGAGGTCTCCCCAGTGCCCTGGAATCCCCTGCCCTGAGGGAGGCACGCCTGGGGAGATGGTCTCTTCTGTCCCGCTGATGGAGCTGCCTTGTCCCTCAGGTTGGTGGATGACCGCTGTGTGGTGGAGCCCGCGGCAGGGGACCTGGACAACCCCCCTAAGAAGTTCCGAGGTAAGACCTCCGCTCTCGCCGCCAGCCTCCCTCCCAGGCTGCTGAGTCTTGGCCCTGGGACAGAACTCACTCAACTCCATCCAGCCCCAACGGGCCGGGTTAGACCAGGAGCTGCCCTGCAGCCCTCCTACTACTCTCTGCGGAATCCCCATCAGGCTGTGCTGCTGTTACCTCGGCCCAGACAGCTTCTGCCTTCATTTCTGGGGGGCCACACCCCGCTTCTCAGGGGCACACCTGCATCTGGCTGGGAGCCGTTCTCCCCCGAACTCCCCACCGGCCACAAGGCCTTCTTTGTTTGCATGACTGGGCATTTTCTGAGGGAGCAGGGGAGGGGAAGAGAATTTCCCCGGGCTTTAGGAGGCCCAGGGTGAGAGCCCTTCTGGGTGCCGCAGTCTCCTTATCCTCGTGGTGAGGGGATTGGAGCCAGTGATCTCTGGGTCCCCGCTCCTGACCCTGGCGGTGTCCCCAGGCCCGGGCCTTGTGGAGGACTCCCGCCCGAGGGGAGCTTGTGGAACCCAGACCTCGCTCTGCTGAGTGACCTTGGCAAGGGCCTTTGCTCTCGGGGCCTCTGTGTCCTCTGTGGTCAGTGGGCTCCTCAGCCCCGCCCCACAGGCCCAAGGGCGCTGAGAGAATGAAATGACACTCTGCTGTCACGGTGCCCAGCCAGGGTAAAGTGTTATTGTTGTGATTACCTGTGAGGCTGAGACCGACAATCAGACAGATCCTGGGTGTGGTGGGCAGGGTGGGAGCAGGTAGGAACACGCCGGGCTGCTGCCGCCTGGTCTGCCCACGTGGCTGCTCCTCTGGGGAGAGATTAGCTGGGATTGTGCTCGAGGGGGATGCTGGGAGGCGAGCGGGGTTTAAGATAATCCTGAGGCATCCTTGACCGTCTGTCTGCCCGGGCCTTGCCCATCCATTGAAGGGTGGAGGAGATGGAGGGGGACCCTCCCAGCTGGAAGAAGGGCCCCACACCTGTTGTTGTGCTTCTGCTTGTACTGGGGGCCTCTGAGTGGGGGCTGAGTCTGGGGGTCTTAGGCCAGGAAGTGCCCTGGTATGTGGGAACTGCCTCTGGCACTGGACATTCCTCACCACCGTAGACTCTGCTCTGCGGAGTCTGGCCCCGCTGCCTCTCTCACCTCATCCCCCACCCCTTGCCCCCCTCTCATTCCCTCCAGCCACACCGCCTCCCTGCTGTTCCTCATATTTATCAGCCAAGCTCCCCCCCCACCTTTGTACTTGCTGTTCCTCTGCTTGGAAGGTTCTTACTCCGCATATTCACCTGGCTTGTGCTTCAGGTCTCATATCCTTGGTGGGGCATTCGTTGACCACCCAGTATCAAATTGCACCCCTCATCTCCCTTCCCTGCTTTCCTTTTCTCTACAGTGTGAATCTGATGCCCCATGCATTCTAGTTATGTGTTTATCGTCTGTGGAGCTAGAATGTCAGCTCCGCCAGGGCAGGGATCTCTGGTTGTTTTGTTCTCTGTTCTGGCTGCAGCGTCTGCCACATAGCGCGTGCCTGGTACACATCTGAGGAATAAATGCAGGCATCAGCCCCTCCTCAGGCTTCCTCCCGCCCCTGCTGCCTCTCTCAGGCCTGGCTGCTCCTGTTGCTGTGACCCGTCCAAAGTCCCTAGGTTGAACCCAACCTCGAAAGCATTGAGCCTGGGCTTTGGGGGTTTCAGGGTGCTGGTGCGGGCCCCCTGCTTGGAGGCCCAGCTCTGACCATGCCTGCCCCTCGGTCCTGAAGGTTGAGAGTGGGTAGTGATGGAGCCTGGGCCTTCCCTGGAGCCAGAAGTAGGAGAGCTTTGGAGCGGCTCATGGAGGGGCGGATTTCTACTCTAGCTGGGGGATTTAGGTAAATTCTTGGGAGGAAGTTAGTAAGGGTGAGGGTCCCCAGGGTGGGCTGTGCCAGGGCAGGGAGGGCACTGGAACAAAGAGGGAAGGTGTGCACAGTCAGCTTTGTGGTGTGACAGGTGGTGGCAGGCAGGTGGGTGTGGCCGAGGAAGATTTGCTCTGGAGTTCAGTGGACAGAGTCTGGGGCCAATTTTTGGCAACAAAAAAACCAGTACTCCCTCCTTTCTTTTCCTCTCCGTTTTCCCAAAGCCTGTGAGTGGGGCCCTCCCCAAGATCTGGGGGTTGCCCTGTGGTCCCTGTGGCCTCACTGCACCCAGCCAGCTCAGAGAGGGGGAAGGGGGGACTCAGCCTCCAGCTTCTTCCGTGCCCTCTTTGCCCCAGGTCCTGGCCCGGGGTGTCTTGATGAGGCAGGCAGAGGCCCCTCTGAACTCCCTGTGGCCCCATTTGAACCTGAGAAGAGCCGACCTTTGGGACAGAACCAGGTCTCTGTGCACCCCATAGCTGGCAGGTAGTTGGGAGTGTGAGAACTTGGACAAGAGACATGGCCTCCCACTACTTCAGTTTTGAGACTAACGCCCAGAGAAGAGGAAAGCATAGCTTGGCCTCAAACCTGGGAGTCCTAGTTCTCATTGTTCCACATCCCTCCTGTAAACACCCTGTAAGGCACTGGAAGGAGGTCCCCAGCAAGGGTGTGGGGGCCATGGCAGGCATGTTAGAAGTTGGCTAGATGTCATCAGAGATGGCCGCTTCCTGAGGCCCCACAAGTGCAGTCACAGCATCCTGGGTGGGCCCAACCGTTGCTGGGAACTCTGGTTTCTCCCTCTCTCCCCCAAAAGCTTGGTTATCCTCACATGCTGACCCTGGAGGCCCCCAGGCCGGGCTGGCAAAGCCCAGTGAAGCTCCCGACCAGCCTCCACCAGTCCCTCATAGGCTTCTTGTTTGTGGTTTCAGCTCTAGCCATCTTCTGAGGCCATTCCAAGCCCTAACACGTTCTGGGAATTCTTTCCAGACTCTGCAGGGCCCTGGAAGGCCCAGGTTGCTGGTGCCCCAATGGGTAGGGCACCCCATGCCAGCCCACCCTCCCTGACCTTTGCTTTGCCGTAGGGGTCTTGGGGTTATGGCTGCTCTGAGTCTCACACTGCTGACTGGGCCTGGGGTCTGAGCAATTCTCTCCTGTGAGCCCTTTTTCTATCTCCATTTCCACTTGGGGGCACGGGGAGACCCGGTACAGGGCTTGGGGAGCTCTTGTCTCCCAGTCTACCTTAGGGAAGCTCAGAGCCCACATACCTAGCTATGGCAACCCCAGGAATGTATGTAGTGGCCACTTACCCACTTACCCACCCAGACTGGGGGGAGCCCATGCAGGGGAGAGGCTGATGAAGTGACCTCCCCGTGCTTATATGGCTGGGGGCCCCCCACCTCCCCCAAGGCTATGCCTCTGCTCTCCCTGTCCCACCTTCCAAGCCCAGTTTATTGTTATTTTTGTTATTATTAAGACATATTTCAACTCTACACAAAAGTCAAGAGAGCTCTATCAGATCCTTCTTGCCACGTTTATTTCAGACCTTGTCATTTTTAAAGCATCTTATGCCTGTAGCTGAAGCCCTTTGGGTTTTTCCCCTGATCCCTTTCCCCTCCCTCTCTCTCCAGAGGCAAACACTCATCAGAAATTGGTGTGTACCATTCAGGAGCCTGTTTTTATACTTTTGCTATTAATACGTAGGGCTGTATTCATGAACCATACAGGGTACGATTTCCCATTTTTATAACCCCGCGTATTAAAATCTTTCCGCACATTTTTAATTCAGCATGGTTTTTGAGGTTTCTCCATGTTGACACATTTGGCTTTAGTTCATCTGGTTAATTGCTATGTAATATTCCATCGGGTGAATAAACTGCAATCCACTTATCGGTCCTCCTGTTGATAGCATTTAGCTCATTTCCGGCTTTTGGCAGCTGCCGGCCATGCTGCGGCGGGCACTGCCATACCCGTCTCCTGGGGCTCATGTGCAGCAGTGTCTTGGGTGTGTCCCGAGGTGGGGGACACCTGGTGCAAGGGAGCTCTTCTGAGCCTTCCTGCAGGGCTGTGCATGCTCACCCCCCGCCCCCGGACTATGGGTGCGTCCCCCTTGCTTCCACCCACCCCCTTCGCTGCACTTGGTTCTGTCCCACTAAATTTCTTCCAGCCTGCTGGGTGTGAAATGGCATCTCACTACGGTTTTAATTTGCGTTCCTCTGACTACCAATGAGATGGAGCATCTTTTCATATGTTTATTGGCCACTTAAAATTTTGTTCTTATTCCCTCCCCCCCCCATTTTATAAAAGTAATGCGAATACAGGCTCCAGGTTCAAGATGAAAGCAACATTGCCCCCCCACCTCACCCTCACTCACCTTCTGCCCCCTTTTCTGGGGGCAACGGTATAGAAAAACAGACTAGGAAATTATTCATATATGAAAACATCAAAACATTGTACAAATAGGCATAGAGAGTCTACTCCCACCCGCCTTCTCCCCCTGCTTCGCTCCTCTAGTGTGGTCCCTTCAGGGGACCACTTTCCTGAGCTCCTTATGCATCCTCCAGGGTTCCTTTGTCAAATACAAACATATACAGTCCTCGGATTTCCCCCCTTTTCTTACATAAAAGTAGCATTCTGTATACACTATTCTGTTTTTTTGTTTTTACTTTACAAATCTTACTATGGATCCTACTGGGGACCTTTTTATATTAGTATATAGAAACCTTGAAATGTCTCTGTTTTTTTGTTTCACTTAGAAACTCATTTTTGGGTGCCTGGGTGACTCGGTTGAGTGTCTGAATTTTGATTTCGGCTCAGATCGTTCATGATCCCAGGGCTGTGAGATCGAGCCCTGTGTCGGGCTCCGAGCTAGATGTAGAGTCTGCTGAAGATTCTTTCTCATGCTCTCTCTGCTCCTCCCCCACTTGTGCTTGCGTGTGTGTGCGTGTGTGTGCACGCGTGTGCACACGTGCCACACACACACTCTCAAAAGAAACAAACAAACAAAACAAAAACCAACTCATTTTTGTTCTGTATCCTCGACAACTGTGTGAAAATAGTGTTTCTACTACTTACATATATTTTTTTAATTTTTTTTTTAACATTTATTTATTTTTTTGAGACAG